GGTAAGAAAAAAATTTTTTTTTTTTTTTTTTTCTTCTTCTTTTTCCCTTTTTTTTTCTTATATATTTATTAATATTTTTGTGTTATTGTATTATATTATTATTTATTTATTTATTTATTTATTTTGCTTATTTTTATATGTATTTATTTATAGGGGATATGGTCTTAATGGATAATATAACTAGACATAGAGGTAGTAATCATATTTCTTTCTCTATTCGTCCTCTTATCTATCTATCTGTTATTGATAAAAGATTCTATGGAGGAATAAAAGTTGGTGCTAAGACACATTTCCTTAATTGGCAACAATATCCACAGCTACCCCAGCAGCAGCAGCAGCAGCAGCAGCAGCAGCAACAGAAAGAGGATGAGGAAGAGGATGAGGAAGAGGAAGAGCAGCAGGGGGAAGAACAGAAAGGGGAGGAGCAGGAAAAAGAGGAACAGCAAGAGAAGGAGCAGCAGGTGAAAGGAGAGCAAGAAAAGCTGCAGCAAGAGCAGCAGCAAGAGCAGCAAGACCAGAAACAAGAGCAGCAGGAGACACAACAGGAAGGTACAGCAAATGCACCTGCAGCAGCAGCAGCAGAAGCAGCAGCAGCCGCTTCTTCTTCCAACGAGGAAACTGCTGATACAGGAGAGGGGTCTCCTAATCGTGCACAGGAAGCAGAATCGCAGCAGCAGAAACAGCAGCAGAAACAGCAGCAGAAGCAGCAAGAAGACGAGGAATGTGTGTTAGAGCTAACGGAGGCAGAAGCAGCAGCAACAAACCTTGAGGAGCTTTGTGCTATTAACAGGCTTACTGCCTACGACGTGCTGCCTCCAGGCACCCTACAGCAGCAGCAGCAGCAGGAGCAGGAGATAGGTGAGTGCTGCGAGAAGCTAGCAGCAACAGCAGATTCACCATCAAAGATTCGGGTGTCTCTACACCGCATGAAGCAGCACCTGCAACGCATGCTGCTGTATCGTTATATGACGTATAAGCAGCAGCAAACTGCTATGCAGGACGTATAAGCTGCTGCTGCTGCTGCTACTGCAGCAGCAGAAGCAGCAGGACCTGTTGCTGTGGTGACAGCAAGAAATGAAGACAGAGGGATAACGCTAAATGGCTGCAGAGGGAGAGGGGGTAGCTAGCTGGGCTACAGAGACAGCAGCTAGCCAACCCTGGAGCTAGCTAGCTGCCGCAAGCTGCTGCTGCAGGTGCAGCAGCAGCAGCAGCAGCAGCAGCGGCAGCAGGTAGCTAGTGCAGCTAACCACCGCCGCACCGTGCCTTGATGGTACCTTCCCGATGCTTCCCCCTTTGGCTAGCTAAGGCTTATTTCTTAGCTAGCTACGGGTTTACTACTTGGCTAGCTAGGGTTTGCTACGTGGCTAGCTAGGGTTTATACAGGGGCAGCGCATATACCCTACATATTAACAGCAATGTTAATACGTTGCTGTCTTTTCCTTTTACCTTGGCTAGCTAGTTAGCTAGCCAGCTTGCTGGATAGATGGGCAGCTAGCCATTTAGCTAGCTGGTTGGGCAGCTAGCCATTTAGCTAGCTGGGTAGCTAGCCAGCTAGCTACCCAGCTAGCCAGCTGCGACGATGTATTGGGACCTTGCTGCAGCAGAGGGCCCATGAACTGTTAGCTGAAGTGTTACTGTATAGCTACCTGTAGCTAGCCAGGAGCCGCCTAGCTGTAGCTAGCTGTGGCTAGCTGTAGCTAGATAGCTGGTAGCTAGCCATCTAGCTAGTTAGTTGGCAGCTAGTTGTAGCTAGTTAAGGTGCTTGCGTCAGAGGATAGGGGTAGATAGAGGAAGGGGGCCTGTGTTATTGTTATTGTTGCTGTTGCTGCTGCTGCTGCTGCTGCTGTTGCTGCTGCTGCTGCACTAGAGCAGCAACTCAATAGTCCATGAGGGTGCTGCCATAGACACCCCAGGAGTGGCAATAAGAACACGGTAGGAAGGAGCAATAAATTGCTGCTGCTGCTGCTGCAGCAGCAGCATTAACTCATCACCTTGCGTAGTCTGCTGCAGAAGGGAAGCCAAGCGCCGTCGGATCTGCTCGTGCTGCTGCTGCTGTTCTTCCTGTTTTTCCTGCTGCTCTTCTGCTGCAGCTTGCTGCTCAGCGGTCAATCCTACAGCACCTGATGCAGCAGCAGCTGGTGCTGCAGCAGCAGCAGCAGCAGCAGCAGGTTCTCCTGGTGCACCCAAGTCAAGATTATCATAAGTAGCAGCAGCATCAGCAGCAGCAGCAGCAACAAACTCCTTGCGCTGCATGCTTAGTTCGTCTTGCTCTGGATCTAGCGGCAATTGCGAGACAGAGAAATGGAGCTGCTCTTCTTCCTGCTCTTCCTGGTCTTGCTGCTGCTGCTGCTGCTGTTGTTGCTGCTGCGGCTGGCCGTTCCTTAGAACTGCAGCAACTGGATGTGCGCATACACCCCAAATCGCCACGTGAGAAACTGCAGCACCCCAGCAACAGCAACAGCAGCAGCAGCAGTAGAATCGCAGCAGCACCAACAATAACAGTGGCAGCAGCAACAGCACGATATGCACAGGACAGGACCACAGCAGCAGCAAAGAGATAAAAAGCAGCAACAACATGCATGCATGCATGCATGCATTTACCTGATAGATTAAGGGATTCACTCTCTTCTAATTGGCCAAACCTCCAAGATGCTCCTTGCCCTTCAACAGGTAGAGGAGCAGCAGTAGCAGAAATAACCAATTTGCTGCTGTTGTTGTTGTAGACCTGCTGCTGCTGCAGGTGCTGCAGGTGCTGCAGGTGCTGGTGCTGCAGCTGCTGCTGCTGCATGCATGCTGTTAATCTAAGATAGAGGAAATGTCCATCTTTAAATTTAAAAGAAATTCCATCGTCAATATAAAGACGACCAAATGCGCTACTCTCTGGACCTAGATATACATGCAACTGCAGCAGCAGCAGCAGCAGCAGCAGCAGCAGCAGCAGATGGAGCAGCAGCAGATACGGAAATGGAGATGGAGATGTAGCAGCAGCAGCAGCAATAAGCAGCAGCAGAAACAAAAGCAACTGCAACTAGAGCCTATACAACCACCTAAACCCTAAACCCTAAACCCTAAACCCTCGTTACCGTAAGAGGGGTTTGTAGGCCAAGGAGAGAAGATTTTGCTGCACATTCACGAGTAACAATAATAGATCCTCCTCTAATAAATACAGGGATACGTCTTAGGGTTAAGGGGAACCTGTTGTTGCTGCTGCTGCTGCTGCTGTCATACTCTGTTGCTGCTGCTGCTGCTGCTGATGCAGGAGATAACTCCTGATCTGCTGTTGCAGAGCTGCGGCAAAGGGCGCCTGTGTCTGCATCATACCTGCAGCAGCAGAGAGGACAAAGAAGCATCTGCTGCTGCTGCTGCTGCTGCTGTTGCTGCTGCTGCTGCTGGAGTTAGATTTATGCTGGTGCTCACCACACATATCCACGAGGAAGATTTAACTCAACTGTCTTCAGGTGCTGCCGTTGCTGCTGCTGCTCCTGTTGCTGCTGCTGCTGCTGCTCTTGGCTGTCCTTTTCCACCATGGGGTGAACTATTGGCTGTACGTACACCTGACTGCCCACAAGAAATGACTGTTCACTGATGCTGCTGCTGCTGCTGCTGCTGCTGTTGCTGCTGCTGCTGCAGCTGTTGTAGAAACTTCTTGGGTCTAGCCACCACGTAGGCCGAATGATGGGATCTCCTAAGAGGGAATACTCCATACACAGGGTGTACCTGCAGCAGCAGCAGCAGCAGTAGTAGTAGTATTAGCAGCAGCAACAGCAGGAAGGTAAGCAGAAACAGCAGCAGCAGCAGTGCAACAAACCACCAGCAGCAGGATGGCACCCCCCAACCCCCACCACCGTATTAGCAGCAGAAACAGCAGCAA